AATAATAATAATAATAATAATAATAATTTTTCAAAGGACGCTGTCTTTGCAGCTCTTATTTAAAGGCGGTTTGCTGGACTGCTGTGCACCCCAGCTATTGCCAGGGAAGCTCAACTACAGCCAGGGGTCATTTCCTGCAGGAGCGCAAAGGAGCAGAGCTTCGGCAGTAAAGAGCCCAGGGGGCGGGCACGTGCAACAAGCCCCACCCCCTGCTCCCAGCAGCCCTCAGTCAGAGCAAGAAGCAGCCAGGTAAGCTGCAGAGCTCCCCCCAGCCCCCCAGTCCAAAACAGTTCAGTGGCACCTTTAAGACCAAGTTTTATTCAGGTACAAGCTCTCCCTCCTCTGCGAGGACAGATCTGCACGTTCCCCCCCCCCCCAATAGCTAGCAATCCAAAACAGTCCAGTGGAGCCTGAGCGGTGGGTGTTGCCTTCTGACACATTTCCGGTGATGTCAGGGGGTGTGGCATATGCACATAAGTTATGCTAATGAGTTATGCTAATGAGCTCCTGCACCTCTTTTTCTACGAAATGACCCCTGCCTACAGCACACAAAAATGCAGCCCTCTGGGTCTGTGGCACTTCCCCCGCATGGCTCTGGGTCACAAGGGGGTGGGGAGTGAATGGTTCGTGACTCAGCTGTGCTGAATTTTGTGGTGCAGCCTGCAGAAAGAAAGAGGGGAAGCGGAACGAAAATAAAAGTGCCCAGATGGCATCGTTGCCCCTGCCAGGGATGCCAGCGAGGTCTTCTTCACCCAAAAGCTTAAGTGAGGGTGCCACCTACAGCCGCTATGAGAAGAGAGCAAAGCCCCCTCTGCCCTGCACACCCACAACTCTCCCTGGCAGAAAAGCAAGGCTGCCCGAAGGACGGCCGGCAGCCAAGAGACCTGCACGGGCACCCCAGGAATCAGACGAGGCCACCCTGTGCTCTCTGCACGCAGCTCCCCAAATAAGGCAAAAAGAGTCCTCTTTGAGAGCCATGGAGGAAAAGAAGCAGCCATTTAGAACCAGGGAAAATGAGACTATTACTTGCCCACTACTGGGGAGAAAAGACTGACCCTGGCTAGACAGACGTCTTAAAGGGGCAAATTCTAGCCAATTTCTGTCACTGCAGGCTCAAGGTAATCAGGATTTTTAAAAAGCTCAGCTATCTAGTATAGTGAAATAAGCTTCGCCATCTGTGTTACTCACAGCCACCAGTGAGCTCCTGAACCAGAAATCTCCTACGCTGCTGCTGAAATATGCTCTTGTTAGAGCTCTGGCGGACCTCCCAGAGAAAGGAATGCATGTTAAAAAAAAAGGGTTCTGTGTAAGTGGAACAGCAGTGTGGCTGCCACCCCTGCTCTGCTTGGGATACGGCGAATACATGGCCCCCGTCCTTTCCCAGCAGCGTACTGGTGACACACCCTGGGCTTCCTGAGAAGCTTATCCAAGCCTCCCCGGGGAGAAGACCAGCAAAGAGGGTCCAGTTTGCCTGAAAAGCCTTTCACTGCCGGCTTCCCCAGGCGGGACTCTTCTGTGGCTACATGTGATCGTGCTCCAGGCAGTCTCCCATTTCGCGTGGGGTCAGCAGAGAATCTCAAGAGCCACGGCAAGCAGGTCAGGCGAGTCGCGTACCGCGCGATCTCCTGCAAGCCACGGGGTTTTCTGGGGCTGCTGCGTAAGTGGGAAAAGCCAAGAGACCTAACTGGACCGCTGCCCTCCCCCTTGGGAGACCAGGCTCAGGCACTGGCAAGCGGGGGAGCCCGGCACCACTCTCCTCCTTGCAGGCAGAGGGGCAGGCCCAAGCCCGAGTGTACGTGGGAAGAGGAACGGCAGGACAGAACGTCTGCAGGGCCCCCCCTGCCTGCTTCCTTTTGACAGCACCTAGGAGGCCAAGACAGCCAAGTGAGCAGCAGGCCCACGGGCGCCAAGTGTTGAGTGCTTTAAGACTGGAGAAGAGAGATGGGAACAAGAACTTCTTCTATAAAATTTCCCCCCTCCTCCAGCTGTATTTTCCAGGGGTGGGGTGGGGTGGGGGAGCAGTTTTGAAACAAACAGCAAAAGCAACACACAGGAACAGCACCGCTGGCCTCCATTCCCAAGGGAGGGAGACAAACACGCCACAATGGCACAACGTTCAGCCGGGAGGGTGGCTCCAAGCCATGCTGCAAGAGGGCCATTTTTAAGCAGCAACATGCAAGAAATGCAACAGCGCCAGGAGAAGTTACTGTTCAAGCCGGCTTAGGCTGCTGGTCTCAAAGGCCCCGACACTGCTGCGGTGCAGTCCAGGTCAACTGGGGCACAAATGCTCCGAGGATGTGGAACAAGGGCAGGCAGAACCCATGTATTATCCTTTAGGGCCTCTACTTATTATCACTGATGGGCACAGATAATCATTACGCTGCCTGAAGTCCAACTTCCCATGCCCCCCCCGCTGGGTCTGCTCTAGAGACAGTGCTGCTGCACCCCACCTGGCAGCCAGTCAGTAAACTGTCCCCGCCCATGCTACACCCACCAATCTGGCACCCCAAAGAATACCTCCGGCATCGAGTTAGCCTAGACCCAGCCCGGGAGGAAGAAGACACAGTTAAAAATCCATTCATCAGAAAGCACACTGGGTAAACCTGGGCCACTCACACTCTGCCTAGCCTACACCGCAGAGCTGTTGTGAGAATAAAACAGAGGAAGGGAGAACCACGGATACCACTTAAAGGATGGGATAAATATGCAATGAATGCATCAAGATTCTGAGGAAGGACATAAATGTTGTTACAGAAAACTTGATCGGATGAAGGCTGGAATAGAACTATTGTACTTGACAGGCTAGTTTTCTATATGCGGGGTACTGGTTTGTTTTGAGGAGTGTTTGGTCAGATGACCCCCAAGATGAAGTCTGAAGGGATACAGCCTAGCTCCATCTGAGAAAACTAGACTTTAATTTTATTAAAACACTTCCATCCTGCCTTTCCTCTAGGTTCATGGTGGATTACAATAATAGTTGAAAACATTTTCCATGAAAACCAAAAATAAAATAGCAAATGCCTAACAACCCCCCCCCCCCCCCAAAAAAGATGCCTTCCCTTCAAACCTCCTCCATGGCTCTGGCAAACACGCAGGTCTTGCAGGGCCTCCTTGCCTGTTCAGGAAGCCCTCTCCGCAGAGCCAGAGCCGTAAGGGAAAACGCCCGGGCTCTGGTTGATGCCAGACGGGCCACCCTAAGCAGATGGCTGGCAGGCAGGCAGGGACACATGGAGGGAGACTGTGCTGTTCTGGCTGTGCAGAAAAGCACCTCTGCCACGCAACTCCCAGATTCTGTCCTGCATTCTGCACCTGTCTGTTCTCCTTACTGTCCACTCCTTACTTTTTCTGCACCTGCCTGGACTCAGTGGTCTGGAACTGGCCACATGTGGCCTCTCTATTCTGGCCCTCAGTCAGGTGCTAAAAGCCTGATCCCTCAAAAGATCTGGAGATCCTCCACTCCTCAAGAAGTCCCCGAAAGTCACAAGAAGGAACCCTGATATCACATCAGCATAATGTCTCTTGGATAGAGTCAGGTGGGTCAAACCCAGAGGTCGTTTCGGGGGGGATCGCAGTTCCCCCGGGTGAGGTACGGGGGGCGGGGCCCGCTTCCGGCCCTCATTCAGCCAGGAGGAGGCAGGAGAAGAGGGAGGGTAAGTTGCTTCCTCCCTGCCTCTCCCCACCCCTGCCTGCCTGGGGCCAGGGAGGGCCTTCGCAGGGCTTCCTCGCACTCCCGCCGGCCTTGCAGGTCCACCGCCGGGCCCCTCATGGGGCTCGGCAGTGGAGCTGCAAGGCCGGCGGCGGCCGGGACCGTTGGGGGCGGGGTGTGTGGCCTTATGACACACTTCCGGTGATGTCAGGGGGTGTGGCATATGCTAATGAGTTATGCTAATGAGTTCCCCTAGCTCTTTTTCTACAAAACGACCCCTGGTCAAACCCTACACCAAAAGACAAATGGACACAAATCTGACATCAAGAATCACAAAACAGAGGAACCTGTAGAAGATTTCAACCTCCCAGGGCACTCAATGGGGGACCTCAAAGTTGCTGTTTCATTTCAAAGGAATTTCAGAAACAGACTGGAACAAGAGACTGCTAAATTACAAGTTACTGCAACACTCAGAACAATGGAACCCCAGGGCTTAACACAGATATCAGGTTCTCAACTCACTACACATGCTAAGTCCCTCAGTTCTCACTTGTACCCAGAATTAAACTCTGTTGGCCTTAAAGGTGCCACTGGACTCAAACTTTGTCCTCACAATCTGTTGTTAACTGTTTCATTATCTATATGCATCATTCCAATCTGAGCTATACTTACTGCCCATTACTAATGCATCTTGACTCTAACTACCTCTTCCTGGCAACTAACTCCCCACCCCACCTATATCTAATGGTTGAGGAAGTCTGTTTCACTGTATCTGAAGAAGTGTGCATGCACACGAAACCTTATAACCAGAATTAAACTTTGTTGGTCTTAAAGGTGTTAAGGAAATCAAAATTTATCCTGCTTCTTGGGTCCCATTGAAATGGGAGATGGAGACAGTGGTTTGGTGGTGGCGGGTGGGTGGGTTGTGAACTGATAACATCAACCAGCTGCAGAGTGGAGCCAAAAAAAAAAAAAAAAAAAAAGACCTACTGCGCAGAATGAAAGGAGAGAAGATCCGCTGGGAGATCAACAAAGAACTGGCTGGATGCCTGATAGGTATTCACCTCCCCCCCAATACTATGTGGCCCTAGTTAGAATTGGTAATTTGCAATGTAAACCGCTCAGAGAACCTTCGGGATTAGAGCGGTATAGAAACCGAAAGTATAAATAAATAAATAAATAAATAAATAAATACATCTGTCTGCTAAGCCCTGCCCCATTTCCTGCTTTGAAGAGGAAAGGGGCTGAAATATAAAACGCCCAGGGCTTTCTGGTCTCTTGTGATCTTTCACCTGCCGTGTGATTTCAGATCATGCACATCAGGAGCAAAACAGAAGGAAAAGAATCCTCTTGCCTTTACCGTCTGTCGCAGAAGCCTCCTGTAAGTGTCTTATTGACCTAGAACAAAAAAAATTGAGTGCAAATGAGCTATACGAGTGACCACGACAGATTTCCAAGCCATCCACCCCTTGCCAAAAGGTGCAGAGGGCCTTTAGGTTCTAATTCAAGCCTAGGGCGCCCTCTGCTGACTAGGAAGACTGGCCGCCGGACCCTAGGAAGGGGCCTCAGGCATCTTGCGAGCATACGAACTGGAACTCCACAATCCAGAGAGCGGAGCTTATCAAATCCATCAGGGAAAGTGTCAGGCAAGGGTTCGATACCAGGAAGTTGATTTTCATTAATCAGAGAAAAATTTGCCTGCTGCAGGATCAGTAACTGCTTATCCTAAAACAGTGCAACAGAACGTCACATGGGAAGGCGGGGGACAGATTCTTGGGATATTATAATCTGATGGTGTTGCCAGGAGCTTTACGTAAAGGTATGAATCTGCCTTGTTACACAGCCCGCCCATCTGCTTTAGCATCGGCTGCTCCAATTAGCAGCAGCTCTCCGGGGTCTCAGGCAGAGGAAGGGCCTTCAGGAGAGGGGCTGTGGCTCAGCGGTAGAGCACCTCTTTGGCACGCAGACGGTCCCAGGTTCAATCCCTGGAATCTCAAGTTAAGAGGATGAAACAGGAGATGATGTGAAAGACTGAAACCTAAGGCCCTGAAGGGCTGCTGCCAGTCTCAGTATCTCGATGGACCCACGGATGATTCCGAGTAACTTAAGCTTCGGGTGTGCAACCCACTGTTAGCAGAGATCCTTTAACCAGAGATACTGGGGACTGAATGTGAGACTTTCTGCGTACAAAGCAGGGCCCCCCCCCCCCCCCCGCTTCCTTGAGGGATCTGCCTCCACCCACACTGCCAGCAGGGGGAAAAATTTCTTGTATCATCAGGAGCCAACACGGTCTCACTGGCCCGGATGGATGTTTGCGCATCGCCTCTCCTCACAACACAGAGACTCTGGCGCTGCACTCTTGGCCACTCACCATACAACCGGAAACAGGATGGCTCCGCAGCACAGCAAGTCTACCAGGAAAAGGATCTCTTTCCACAAACTGTATTCTGTTGTGCCTTCTTCTGTTGACTCTATGATGATGTAGGCCACGTTCGCCAAGACCTTGTGTGGGGAAACAGGGAGGCGTGCTAAGGAAGGCATCGGGATGCCAAGTTCAAAGAAAGGGATACAAAGGAGGCACAATGTGTACTGCAATTCTGCGGGAGCAGAAGCTGGGATATTTGGCTTAGAATTCAGGCTGCTGAGAATCTCCATGTCCTTAAGTTTCTTGTCCTTATGGATTCAGTATATTCCACTATGTGGAAACAGCACCAAGAAACTTCTGAAAGCGCAAAAACGAGGGGTTTCAGACAGCGCTTCTAAAGTTTCCCGGCAAGCACCCCTCCTACCCACGCATCAGTATTTTGGACTATGCAAAGCACTTCCACCAGCAACCATGTGCTGCACGCGAGCTGCAAAAGGATGGCAGTGCCAGGGCCAGCCTACCTGGCACACATATGAATGGTGCACCCTTCTTGTGGGGACATTGAGGAGGGGGGGATAGAGGCAACTGAGGGAAAGGCAAGAAGTAATACCGGCCTCACCTGCAGCGGGATGACTATCATGAAGATCTTCTTGTCCTTATCGGAAAGGATATGCTTAACAAAGGCCCAGCCAGTGCCAATGAGGGCGATGGTGATGAACAGCAGGGCGCCCTTCAGCCTCATTATTAGGAAAGAAGAGAGAGTTGCTTGAAATCATTTCATCTCAACGTTCATCGCTTGCCTTTTCACAGGCCATAGGCCTCCAAGGCATCTCTCATGATGTAAAAGACCCCGTTAAAGTGACTGAACACAACAAAGAGGCAAGAGTTGGAAGGGTTAGAGTCCAAGAAATCTACTCCACTGGCATCTCGTGTCATGAGAATGCCTGATGAATGTGCCTCCACTACAGGAGTGGATGTGTTGGATTCCAACCTGACGTACAAAGAAAACAGAACCTGTAGCAAAAGAGAGTTAAACTGTGCTGAATGCCGAACTCGGACACATGTCAAAGGAAACCAGGGAAGATGTTTCGAAGACTGGGAGCCACCAACAAAAGGGCCCAGCACCCTCGTTGCCTTCGGAGGCTGAAGCATATGAAACAAGGTGTCTGTGATCTGAAAAAGGAGAACCTCGGACAAGGAAGAAACACAAGAAGAAAAGACTCTGAAACTAAGATAGAGGTTTATGAAGTTTTTGTTAAAATGATATTCAAAGCTAATTTTTATTCTTAAACCTTTATTTACAATGTTATCTTAATATTAGTCGGTGATTTCGTTACAAATCCATGTAATCCAGATCGTGTCACCCGTTAACTCCACTCCCCCACTCCCTAGCAGAATTGCAGTGTATCGTATCAGAGCCCCACTCCCCTATCCTTGTAGTAGTTAGTGATGTAGTAATGGAAAAACAATAAAATCCTTTAAAAAAAAGAAAAAAGAAACAAGGTGCCTGCGGAAAACCTGCAGATCACAGCCTCACAGGGCCATTCTGACCCTCTCAACTTTTCCACCTGTCAATGTTCTGAACCGCACATGCTTGGCTTGAGGAGCACCCAAGCTGACTGAGGAAAGAAGTACCAGGGAAAAAACCTAGTAACCGCATTGCCCTTGGTGTTACTAAATACGAGCTAAATGCTCATCATTTCAACAGACAGAGCAAGTGTGTGTGGAAGAGGGGACTGCCACACTGTAGGGACTCCCGTGTGAGGGGCAGGAGGGGGGATTTTGCCCTCCCTGAAGCAGAGTCACCCAGGGCTGGTCCTTAGTTCTTCCCGTGTGTGTGGAAGAGGGGACTGCCACACTGCAGGGACTCCCGTGTGAGGGGCAGGAGGGAGGATTTTGCCCTCCCTGATGCAGAGGCACCCAGGGCTGGTCCTTAGTTCTTCCAACAGGAGTGAATGGCAGCCCTTTCATTCATGTGGAAGAGAAAAAAAGGAGTGACCACTGGCAGACTCAGAAAGCCCATGTGCTGTGGTGGTTAAAAGGGGCCGACTCGGATCTGGAAGACCCAGGTATGAATCCCCCCACTCTGCCCTGGAAGCTGGCTGGGTGACCTGGGGCCAGTCGCACCCTCTCAGCCTAACCTGCCTCACAGGGTTGTTGTGAGGATAAAACGGAGGAGAGGAGAACGATGTAAAGCTGCTTTTGGTCCCCGTTGGGGGGAAGAAGGTGTGGTACAAATGAATTAAACAAATAACTTCCTGGTGGCCTGAGCGATCGCATCTGCTTTGCACGCACGACCTGCGTTTTGGCCCTGTTTCTTGGTCAGCCCTAGAACGTGACGTTAGAAGTGGGCTCTTACATGGTGGGCATGTGATCTGGACTTCTCAAAACACAGGAGGAGGATTAAACAGGACAGCAGCAAGCTATAAGAATGCAACATAAAAGCATGAAGATTTTAAAAAAGCATGTGAAGTAAACAAAAAAAATGGCACCCCTCCCCTGAACATTTTGGAAGCATTTTCAAAACTCTGGCAAGGTAGGGATGCATCAACCCATCCTCGGGGTGATACAGCAGAAAGCCCATGCCCAGGTTTAACTGAGGGACCCCCGGCTCATCGTTCACGTTCGGAAGCACTACATCGCCCCACCTCCTGCTCACCAGCAAAACAAAAGGCTCTCGTTTGTAATTCCTAAAGAACCGGCACACCCAGGGATCCCCATCCAGAGACTTCTGGGATCTTTCCTCAGTGCCACGCAGAAGCTGACATACCTCGTCTGCCGCAAAGGCTCTCCTTGTGTGTGTTCCACGTGTGGAAATGCATCCCACATGTGCACTCTGCCCTCTTTGATGTTAAGGGACAGGCCAGGGCCCTGCTAATTACACGGCTGTAATCAGAGTTGAAGAATGATCACCGGGATGCACTTTGAATGGGCTGGACCCTGTAACAGGGCTGGCTTCCCTCCAGTTCAAGGAGCTTTTGCTCCAGAGGTTCAGGTACGAAACTTCATTCCAAGACACCCCTACGGCTGCCACCTGGTGCTGGAGGTGAGTGCCTCCGTGAGTGGAAAGGATCCAGCCCTGTCTTTGCTGGAAACAGGATGGCCACCTTTGTAACGGAGTGGGGCGGAGTGAGCCAAGATCAGACGTGCTTATTCCGGTGCCTCTGAAGGACTTAATGTCAGCCTCTCTGGGAGCCTGCCTCACTACTATGGGTAAGTCGGTCTCCTTCTGCAGTGCCTAGTCTGGTGTAGTGGAGAGTGTGGTGGCTTGGCTCACGTGGAAACCCCACACAGCTTTGCCCTCACCTGCCTTAGAGCATCAAGGGGGTCTTGCTTACTTGCTTAGGACTTTCCGTTCTCACACAGTGTGAGGCTGGGGAGGGAGCGGCTGCACCTGCCACAGATGGAGGCTTCTCGGGTGTTTAGAAAACACTGTGAAACCAATTCCGACACAGATCTTGATGCCAAGCAACACCAGCAGGCCAAGTCAATACTTGATGGGAACTGTGAAGCCCACATCACGCCTCCCTGGATCTGGCCTACAATTTGGGTCTGTACCACTTACAGGTGAGTGATGTAGTAGACCACGGCCCAGCCTTCGATGGGGAAGCCTTGCGTGGAGATGTAGTGGTAGTCGATCTGGAAGGCAAAAGCACGGGTCTGCTCAGAGTAATTTCAATTTGCCTCGGAATGTTTGACTCGAGAGAGGACTGGGCAAGGAGTTGGCCTTCCCCGGGCAATCCTGGCCAAAGGGAGGGTGATTAGCCAGGCCTGGCTAAGAAGCAGCTCGAAGAGGACACAGCGAGTCACATGAGGAGTCCTGATCTCGGAGACAGAACTATGCAGGCCAGCGGAAAGGGAGCAGGGGGCCCCATCCTCCTTGGGCCTACAGGCACCTTTGGAATTCTGACACAGCTAACGAAGTGGCTGCCAAAGGAGACAGAACCAGTCGAAAAATGGCTGTGTCAGCTGACCTCCAGTCACACAGCGAAGATCTTTGCGCTGCGTTGGCAGCTGCTGCCAAAGCAACACATTAAAAAAAACTGTATGGCCAACCAGAAACCTTCCTGTAGACAAGCGCCGCCCACTTTCTAAAAGCACTTGGGCAGGTGCCAGGAGAGATGCCAGGAGGCGCCATGGCACCCACGGACCCCCATGACGGGGACCCCTAGAGCAGAGGGACTGGTGGCCAGTACTTGGATAGAGCGGGAAGAGCATGGAAGCCCCTGCACTGAATTAGTTACGACCAGTGTTCCCTCTAAGCTGAGTTAGTGTAAGCCAGCTCAGTTTTTTAGCCTCCAGCTCACCCATTTTTTGTCTTTGCTCAGGAAGGGTGGCTCCAGAGCAAATTAATTTATGCAGTAGCCAAATCGCTCGCTCACAACTTTAATGCCAGGAGCTCACAAAGTAGAATTTTTGCTCACAAGACTCCACAGCTTAGAGGGAGCATTACGATCCCTGCCCTGGTTCTTTTTGACTGGCCACTGGCCAGGGATCAGCCGGAATGGGGAAGCACCAAACTGCACGCGGCCCCTTTGGGGTGCTCGAGTTACTGCTCTTCCATGGGGCACACGGTTCCACATTGCCCCAAGTGTGTAGTGTGTTTCCACAGGGCCAACAACACGGTTGGAGACAGTGTTCCCTCTAAGCTGAGTTAGTGTGAGCTAGCTCACAGTTTTTTAGCCTCCAGCTCACACATTTTTGTCAAAGAAGAAGAAGAAGAAGATTTATACCCTGGCCTTCACCACCCAAAGGTGTCTCAGAGCGGCTTACAATCTCCTTTCCCTTCCCCTCCCCACAACAGACACCCTGTGAGGCAGGCGGGGCTGAGAGAGCTCTTGACAGAAACAGCTCTTTTTTCAAGGACAGCTCTTATCAGAACTATGGCTTGCCCAAGGTCATCCAGCCAGGTACAAGTGGAGGAGTGGGGAATCAAACCCGGTTCTCCCAGATTAGAGTCCGCGCACTTAACCATGACACCAAACTGGCTCTCTCTATGAGGAAAGGCTGAAGGAGCTGGGTCTGTTTAGACTGGAGAGGAGACGACTGAGAGGTGATATGATAACCATCTTCAAGTACACCAAACTGGCTCTCGGCTCAGGAAGGGATGGCTCCAGATCAACCTAATTTATGCAGTAGCCAAATCGCTCGCTCACAACTTTAATGCCAGTAGCTCACAAAGTAGGATTTTTGCTCACAAGGCTCCACAGCTTAGAGGGAACATTGGAGATTTGTATAGGAACGCCTGTCTCTTTTGCCTTGCTCGGGGAACCCATGCGCTTCAGCAACACCTTATACTGTCAGCACGATATAAGGAGAAATCCTTTGACGACACCTGCTGCCTCTGTGATGTCGCCCACAACACTGCCTCCCTTAGGGATGTCAACAGCAAAAGAGACGGACTGAGAGGTCACTTACTGCGTGGAAGACCAGAGAAAGGGACTTGGTGAAAGGAAGAGCGGCCATCAGCCAGTGAATCTTGAACACGTCAGCCCTGTAAGCAGGAGGCAGCAGAATCAAAAAGTAATCAGAGGCTCAAAAGGGTAAGAACAACGCCCTCCTTCTGCAACAGGACATCTAAAGAGGGAGCCGTAAAATGTCGGAGGTTCCAGAAGCTGGGAGCAAAAGCAGCTCCCGGCATCAATGGAAATGTTCACTTATTCAGGAAGTCATCTGCAAAGCACTCGAGGACCTGTATTGCCACACAGCACACCGCCTCCCAGTATTTGGTCCCTTATCGGCCTCCAATTGTTTTACTTCTTTTGAAAGAAGCGATTCTTCCTTTTCTCCCAAGAAACCCAGGCACCTTACGATGTGATCTGCACTCCCCACCCTGGCAAATGTGCCATTCTTTCATCCACCCCCCCCCCCCCCAGCAAAATCAGACACTAACTAAAACATGTTTCTTTCTGCATTTGCAAGCGAGCAGGAACATGGAACCTGCCAGCTCCTGAACATTCATGCGAGTCTTCATAGTTGAAGGTCGAGACGGGCATTCTTGCTTGCCTGCAAACAGTGCCCAGCATTACTAGTTTAGTGCTGAAAGCTTGTTCGGTTAATGAGAACTACATGTAACTTGAACTGAAATGCAAAGTCAAAATATCCAGCAGCAACTAAAACTATCTCATGCCAGACCGTGGAAAAACTTTATAAGATCATTCATTGTGATTAATGACCCCCAACACATCTATCACAAGAAAGCCCCCTAGCAGCTTCCAAATCATGTTTTGGAGCAGCAAAGACAAGGAGAGACTTGAAGAACACTTCTGGCTTTACCTGCAGCCAGAACAAAGACCAGTACATTTATTGTGGCAAAAGCTTTCAGGAAAGTTGGGTACCCAAAGTTTGGGTGAGAAAAAATGATAATAAATTAAAAGAAAATATATAAGTGCACTAAAACTCTACTTTAAAAACACAGGCACATTCTGAAGTCCTGAATCTATGTAACATGATGCAATTAAAAATCTATAGGTTAACAGCCTTGAACCAATAAAACAGGACCAACAATTCAGGAGAACCACATTAAAACAGGACCCAATGTGGTTTGGCCTCCTCAGTGGTCAAATTATTGGACACATGTGCACTGTGACATATAAACATGTGTTAATGCCAAGGCATGTTGATTAGAAGGCATTCCAAATATCCTGTGTGGCAAAAGAATCGGGTTGTACAAATATTTTTTCTTAGACTTCTAAGCCCACACATCCAGGGAAAGCAGATCTAATAACTCCTTCTGACCATGGCTATCAAAAGCCTCAGAGGGCACATATATATACCAACCTTTAACTGACAGTGTTTGCAAGCCTTCAGGCCTCCTCAGTGGTCAAATTATTGGACACATGTGCACTGTGACATATAAACATGTGTTAATGCCAAGGCATGTTGATTAGAAGGCATTCCAAATATCCTGTGTGGCAAAAGAATCGGGTTGTACAAATATTTTTTCTTAGACTTCTAAGCCCACACATCCAGGGAAAGCAGATCTAATAACTCCTTCTGACCATGGCTATCAAAAGCCTCAGAGGGCACATATATATACCAACCTTTAACTGACAGTGTTTGCAAGCCTTCAAGACCCAGAGCCCACTTTATCTGGTGCGTGAACTGTGGCATCGCTGCCAGTTACTAACAATAGAGGGGTGTGTGTGTGTGGAAGGGGGGTTCTGTGAAGTGAGGCCTGGAGGCTCATGAAGTGTGGTGGATGGGAGACTGTCTTGCCGCTGATGGGGAAAACAGCCACTCAGCTCAGCCTACAGGAGTGCTGCTCCAGCATCCAATCACCTTTCAGGAGGGGGGTGGAATGCTGTGGGGAAGCACACAGGCAGTCAGTTCAGGGCTGCCTCGAGGAGAGGGCAGCCATCGTTTCTGGTCTGCCTCTGGAAAACAGTAGACAGTTGGAAGGGTAGCTCTGTATGGCACGGTGGTTTAGCTCTACTTGTGGTAGAGGACAGAGAGGACCCAGGAGTGTGAGGCCTGTCTCTGGTGATGAACAGACCTTGCGCCATTTAGTCTGACTCTTGGAAAAGGGCAGGCTACTGTAGCTGCACTCCTGTGTGTGTGAAAGGATCCGGCTCAGTGGCTCATCAGAGAATGCCTGTTTGTACCACAGAGGGTTTACAATAAAATTCCAAGCAGTAGTCTAAACACAATGGTGTTTTCTGTAGACATAATACAATATTAAGTTTAATGTGTGAAAATATATGAGAATGTCAAAGGATGCAGAAAGTAAAACTTACCCTTGGATGCAGAGCTTTACAATTTTATTGCAAACCCTCTATGGGGTTGGGTAAGCTTTCTTATTTCTTTTGGCATCGCTCCTGTGTAATTAACGTGATAAGCTAAACGCCCGGTGTTGTTAGACCGCCCTTGAGGCGTCCTCCCGCCGGGAGTCCGATATGCAGAACTTTATCAATGCTTGTGTGGCAATTAATGTAATAAGCCAAATATTATGTGCGGTTAAGATATTTTGGGCTAACAGAATGTCATTCAGGCTGTCTCCCGACGGGAGTCTGACATGCAGGGCCTGTGCAGAGACTGTGCAGTAGCAAACGTAACTGATATAGTAACTGACTTCGTATAGATGTTGACTTGATATGGGGGGGGGGGGGCTTCAGACATTTCATTCTGTAATAAGTATGTTTTGTAACATTTGTTTTGATCTGAAGACTCGGTAGAAAAGAGGAGTATAATGAAATCCAGAAACCTCTTTATCCACCATCAGCTTGTTTGAATAAACATCTATGTGACTTGTTTGAATAGATTTACAGTTTCCATTCCATATTCTCATCATTGAGTCGGATCTTCTTTTGGTGGATCCCGTTGGACCTTTTGCATGATAATATTTTATCATGTATTTGCTCCCATACTTAACCCACGGACGTTTTCTTTTTTCCTTTTTACGTTTGTACCTGCAAGTATGCTGGAGGACTCAAACCGCACTCTGAAGCAACAACTAGCATAAATTAATGTGCCTCAGCCAGGCCTCTCCTCTGGCAATCTACAGACCTGGGCTGCTGATCTGTTCTTTGAAACAACCCGTCAATAAATCTTCTTTGTTGTTTATATCCTAATCCTGCCTCAGTAATCTCTGTATTCTACTTGCGCACCACAAAACTTACCTCACGGCAGTGAACCCATTCCTAGACACTTGCTACCTTAAGGACACCTGGTAACTGAGGGGAAGGTTTACAGTTCAAAACAAACCTGGTTCCCCAAAATCACAGAAAGCTGTGTGAGTTCCCCTCAGTAGGTAGAGAAGACCTGTCACACAAGGTGTGTAACACTACAGAGCACAAAGAAAAGTAAGATCCTGTCAAGAATAACCTCAGAGTAGGAAAAAAGGCTGCCAACCTCCAGGTGGTAGAAATCCAAAAACAACATCCGTGACAAAAATAATGAAGAGTCAATAAAGATATGTTGCAAAATCATTTACTGTAGTAATTCTGTAGAACATTCCCATCTATTATCGCTCACACACAACGAATGCTGCGCAATATAAACAATTCATTACAGGACTTCCGGCGGCGCGGTGCGGCGACGGGCGGTGCGCGTGAGCACTCTAGATGCCCGATTCCCTCCTGTTTCTTTTGGGGCTTTCTCGGTCTTCGGGAAAGTCCCGCCAGATCTCCCGGAGAGAGATCTGGAGCAGGGGGCTCTGTGGTGGCCCCTCCCGTAACTGGCAATGCGGGGGGGGGGGTTCCACCTTTTGCCCTGAAGGAGAAGTGGGTGAGCGGAGGGGAACATGGCCACCATGTTCCCCATAGCTGCAGCCTTCCGTTCTGTTTTTACTTATATGTAACTCTTTTTTTTTATTACAAGCAACGAAGTAAGGAAAACTTCAGAACTGTAAGTGCGCACATCTTCAAGAAAAATGTGTAGATGCCCCGAAAACGATTGGCGCTAAAGGGAAAAACAAAGCGGCCTGAAAGGGAGGGAAGAAGCTAAGTGTTACATATCTACTTCTTTTTTCTATTTTATTCGGGGCAATAAATGTTGTTCCCTTGGGAAAGGATTTAAAAGAGGACTGTAAGCTGACTGTTATTAAGTTTGTAAGCTGAAGGACTTCGTGGGGAAATGGCATCTGTAGGAGGGAAACAAGATGGAGGAGATGTTGGATGAAAATATGTTGGTGACAGAAATGTCCATGGAACAGTTTCTAGAGGTCCTAAAAGAAGGAATACAAAAGGCCATAAAAGAAGGAATACAAAAGGGGATAGAACAAGCATTTGCAAATTTACATGAAACCCCCATTGTAACAGAGAGAACCGAAAACTTGGAATCACATACACAAAATCCGGAAGAGACCATTGAGGTTCAGCAAGGAAAGGAGGACTTAGAGTTGTTATGCTTTCAAACCCCAAGACAAGGGGAAAAAATAAGAATAGTAAAAAGGAGACAATGGAAGAGAAAGAGGATAAGAGGAAAGGGAAAGGTGTATAGAGTTTGGCCTGAAAAGAAGAAAAAATGGAGAAGGGAAAGACAAGGACGATGTAAATGGAGGATTAAAAGGGACAAAAGGGAACGGAGACATGACTGTTCAAAAAATATTGAAGAAAGACTGAAAATGAACTACCATCTGTGGAAAGAGAAACAGCACGTAGATATGTTATTGCAGGGGAAAAAGTTACAGAGTTACAGAAGGGAAATTAAATTATATTTATTTTTTTATTTATTTAATTTTCGACTTATATACCGCTCTGACCCCGGAGGGTCTCTGAGCGGTTTACATAGCTGTTTATCCCTAACTATGGCCACATTATTTGTATGGGGGATGATAACCTACCAGCATCCCGGCCGTGGGCTCAGTTGTTATTCAGTTCCTGGCTCGGCTTGTTGTTTTGATTCTATCTGCTTTTGTTTGTAGGTGTAATAACGACTTATAATGGATTGAACAGACTAGAATAATGGGAAGTTTACTTACTAGAATATAACGTTAAGTGATAGGATATGAATTTAGGGGTGGTGGAATGAAATGAATTGAACATGCTAAAAGTGTATACTAAAATTATTTTGGTTTGTTTTGTATTGTCCTTAATGTGTTTTTGGTCTTTGCTAGTTTTATTTGTGTTTTTGAAAGATGTATATTGGAGAAAATTAAGTATTGTGCTCTTAGAGTATAGGAAATTATGAAGGGGTATAAATTTGTCTTTGCTAGTTTTATTTGCGTTTTTGAAAAATGTACATTGGAGAGAATTAAATATTGTGCTCTTAGAATATAGGAAATTATGAATGGGTATAAATTTAAGGGTGCTGGAATGATTTGCTTTTGTTTGTAGGTATAATCATGGAATGAGCAGATTAGAACAATTGGATGTTGACTAATTAGAATATAAGGTTAAATGTGAGAGGATAAAAAGTTATGGGTGGTGGAATGAAATGATTTGAGCATGGTAACAGTGTCTACTAAAATTATTTTGGTTTCTTATTGATCTTATTGTGTTTTTGGTCTGAAAAATGTACATTGGAGAAATAAGTATTGTACGCTTAGAATATGGGGAAAATGAGTGCAATGGGTATAAATTTAAGGGTGCTAAAATGATTTGAAATGAGTTGATATAAGTAAGGCAAAGTGCTTATTTAGTGGCAAATTATCATTGGAACGGTAGGAAGGGGAAATAGTGAAGATGCAATTGGAATGTATATGGATCCCATTATAGGTTTAGGGTAAATTTAATTATAAGCACTATAGTAGGTTTATATGGTAGATAATTTTGACTTAAAATGTAAGGAGGTAAACAGTAAACAATGAAAATGATGAAACAACCTTAAAAATAATAATGAGAAAATTGTTTGGATGCTGGAACTAATGGAAATTTATTTAGTATTTTATCCCAAGGGAATAAATTTGAAAATGATTGATTTAAGGTTTATAGAGAGGAGAAAGAAGGAGTCTTAAGGGTTATTATTATTGGATGTGTGTAACTGAACATTTTCATCTTTGGTGATTGTGTAGAAGGAAAATTTGTGTAGTTGGCTAGACATGTTGCTTTGTTGAAACTATCTGAAGTATAAGGAATTAATTATATCTGTATTAATAATTGTTGGTGAATATGCATTATTGTGAAAACCCAATAAAAAGTATTATAAAAAAAACAATTCATTACACAATATTTGGTTTATTCTTATCAATTACTACTTATCAACTCTTGAAGGAAACATTCCATGTTGACTCTTTAATAACAGAACCCGAGGTCTTCATGCTCAGATAAAGCAAATATTGTGAAATGAATTGTTCACATTGCACAGCATTCGTTAGCGTGTGAGCGATAGAAGAAGAGAATTGTCTACAGAATTGCTACAGTAAATGATTTTGCAACGTATCTTTATTGACTCTTCATTATTTTTGTCACAGATGTTGTTTTTGGATTTCCACTCCCTCCCATGATCTCTCATTTTTAACCTCCAGGTGGTGGCTGGAGATCTCCTGGGATTACAACTGATCTCCAGGTGACAAGAATCAGTTCACCTGGAGTAAATGGCTGCTTTTGAAGGTGGGCTCTATGGCATCATACCTCATTGTATGATTTGAAATGAGTTGATATAAGTAAGGCAAAGTGCTCCCCCTCCTCAAACTTCACCCTCCTCAGGCTCCACCCACAAAATCTCCAGGTATTTCCCAGCCCGGAGCTGGTGATCCTTGCAGGAACAGACTTCTCTCATGTGCTGACTACTCAGTAAAATTTGGCTGCATCTCAACCATGTACAAATGCCTGAAGGAAGGAATAACCGGTTCCTGTCCTGACCCAGCCGCCCCGAAGCCCTACTGATTGCAAGCCTGATATGTGTCAAACTTGCCCACGGATTCCAACGGCAGCATTCACCTGCGTTTCCGGAGGAGGTGGACCCACACGACTCCAGAGAGGAAGAAGAAGAGGGCCATTGAAACGTAGAGCTTGGGGAGTGGGATTTCTCCCGCTGAGAGGTAGCTGCCAGGGTTCTTCTCCTGAATCTCTATCTGAAAGCGAAGGAACAGGAAACAGGAGTTTCTGTAGTGCCTAAAAGACTAACCAAAATGTATTTCAGTACAAGCTTTTGTGGACTAGATCCCACTGGGTCAGACACAAGAATGGATGAAGCATAAAACCAAGAGGAACTGTGACCAATAAGATGTGATGCTATGTGTTCGGGTTATTCCTGTCCTAGAAACTAACAACCAGCACTCCTCTCTCGTACCATCTTAGAGGAGGAATTCTCTCCTCTTTGCCACAGCGATGGAGAATCTCAGCAAAACATTTGCTTCCGAAACTGTCACTTGCTAAGCTAAAGCGAACACAGGGCGTGGGCAAGTGAGAACTAGGTGGCGAAAAGCGGTGTTTAACCTTGTCCACGTCTGAGAGCTCGCATCCCATCCTACTCAGCAAATTTTGGAGTCTAGTTTGGGGGGGGGGGAAGACCACTAGTGGAAGTGGGGTGAGGGATATACCTGCAGTGAAGACTTGCCAGGTAGGAGTCCCCTCCCCTGCATTTGGCTGGCCTGAGGGAGGGTGTGTGTGAAACAGATGCTTCTAAGTTGTGTTCCAGGTCATGCTGCAGCCAAGTGAAATGGCCCATGTTCCTACACTCATTCTTACACAGCCCACCTGCCAGGCACCACCAGTAACTTCCTTTTAAAATAAGTCCAGCTACAAAGACAGACTTCAAAACACCAGCACCTGGATTTACATGTTGCCATCAGAAGACGACAAGGACACCTCACCTTAATAGGGAAAACATGGGTTGGAAAAACCCAGGTTTCCCTTAGAAATGTACAGCTTTGCCCACGCTCATCCCCTTGACGGAGACTGAATAAACTCTCCTGGTGGCTAGCAGAAGCAGGAAGACATAAGCTGTTCTGAGTTCTTTGCAAACTGGGGTTTTCTTTGGTGCACAGAAATGCCACCTTCACTTGCAAGACAAAAGTTAGAGTGAAAACTCTGGCTTCTGAAAAGATGCTGCAGTATCTCATGAGGGCCAGAAATGTGATTTTTTTTTAAATTAAAAAAACCCAGATCCTTAGGAAGCTCAATTCAAACACCAATACTACATAAGAACATCAGAAGAGCCCTGCTGGATCAGACCAATAGTCCAGCCTCCAGTCTCACAAAGTGGCCAACCAGTTCCTCTGGAGGCCCTACAACAGGGCAGAAAGACTGAGGCCTTTCCCTGAGGTTGCCTCCTGGCAAGTAGCCATTGAGAGACTGATCCTCCATGAATCGATCTCATCCCCTTTTAAAGCTGTCTATTCCTGCAGCCATTACTACATCCTCTGGCAGCGAATCCCACATTTTATTCACTCTCTGTCTAAGGTAGTATTTCCTTTTGTGCGTCCTACGTTCTGCAAAGTTTCTGCACAACTTTTGAGGCATCTTGGCAAGATACCCCCGTCCTCCAGTGGGCTGGGTGAACAAGGGATGGAGGCTGAGTCCACCCAACCACCACCCTCCGCAGCAGAGCTACGGCTCCTGGCAGCTGCTCGACCACTCAGGAGGGTGGGCCTGAAGCAGCACAGTTGGCACGGGGCCGTTCTAAGCACCAGGGCCCTGGCATCTGCTCAAGGATGCCGAATCTTTAAATCACTGGACTCTTGACGACCCTCGCTTGGTTCCCAGCCAGACCTCGTAGGAAGCACTTGGTTAGAAAGGAAGACTATCAACTCACGTCCAGGCTGAAAAGCTCGCTCAGCGCATTCTTGTTGACGCACTTGTGGAAATAGAGGCTGTAAAGACCTTCCTGGCTCTCCGAGATGCTGAAGAGAAACTGAGAAATGTGCAGAGGAAAAGTCAAAGGCTTTGCACAGCAGCCCTCCCTCCAGATGTGCTCCCCTCCCAACTGCCTGGTGCAAGATGCTGGAACACCACTGGCTGCCAGCGGGTTTCCAGGCTCCATTCGAAGTGCTGGTGCTGATTTTTAGAACCCCCAAATGGCCAAGGTTTTCAAAGACTCATCTGCTCTAATCAGAGCCTACCCAACAGTTCAGCTCTGCTGCTCTGCGGGCCCTCAATCGGGGAGCGACAACCAGATGCAGGACCTTTTTGGTGATGGTGCCACGACCTTGTATTGTCCTCACTCCAGCAGGATGCCTGCTGCCACGTTCATTATGCTTCAGGCACAGTGTGAAAACTTGGTTTTATTTTGCATGTGGCTACTGTCTCTCCTCCCCAACACCAACTTTGTCCGAATCAGACATTCATTGTTCCTGGCCCTTGCTTTGGTCTGCTTTTAATTCAACTGGCGTATTTTCAAGACTTTTCCCCTCTGGTGTTGCAGAAGGTAACGTTCACATGCTGCTGCTTAATGTGGCTTAACTGGTGCCTTCCCCGATTTTATTGTCACACATTTTTCATAAGATGCCCTGTGCTGTTGTTTTTTTTTAACTGGAGAGGTGAGGCGTGCATATTTTAAGCTAACAAAAGAAAACCTGTGGGGTTCAGAAAGATCACTGAGAATTGGGAAGCACTGTGGAAATAGAACTAAAAGCTTCAGGGAATGGGAGATTACGGCCTGGAGGGGCAGAAGGGATGTGCTGGGACCCCCCGCGGACACCTCTGACACAAACCACGGCCAAGGGAAGAACCCACCTGGAAAGAAAGGCCACCTGTTATGTTCTGGAAGGGATGCGATTCCTCAGCGGCCACCTGAGGCAAGACAGCAGAGCAAGGTCAGCTTCTTCTAACTCACTGCAAACAGGTCAAACACTGCGGAGGAAAGCTGACTGCACAACATAAAAAGGCTGCATTTCCAGATGGTGGTCCCGGGACTCCCTGCAAAGAGCCGCCACACACCCACCAGGGTCCTTTCTGTGCGCCCGCTCCCTCTGAGATGGCAGAGAAGATGCCTCCGGAGCAGCAGGGTGCGCACACACCCTCTGTCCTAATGCTGCCAGGAAGTGGACCAGTCGGCTCGCCAGCTAGCTTGGCAAAGCTGCCAGGTGCCTGGGCAGGAGAGGAGGCACCGGCATGGACAGAGCAGGGAGATGGCAGTAGCAGGGGAAAGGCCCTGGGGTATGGCCACAGCAGGCATTTTGTTAAACAATATGGACCTGGGGAGGGTACAACTTGGCTTGGGATGGCACCAGTTGCTCCCTTTGTTGGCAGGTTTCGCTTTCAAAAGGAGCCCTATTCCAAAGCAACCGGTGTGTGTGTGTGTGGGGGGTGACACTGGGCTCTGCTTGCTGCAAGGTGGACCACGTTTCTCCTCTGCTGCATGAACAACAGCCAAGGTGATGACAGGACCCTTCCCTTTTACATGTTTCAATTGCTAAGGGGAGAAACTCTTTCAGGCGCCAGGTCAAAAGGGTTCTGTTCACCCAGGCTTTTAATGACGGGGCTGATCTTTAATGACGGGGCTGTAAGCTGTCAGTGGTCTGCTTTATGGCTCATATTTTTAGGCTGGGCTTTTTAATGTTTATTTTTTAATTCACCTTTCTTTTTCTGTTTTTGCAAGGCACCTCAGGCAGATTGCTGGAGAGGTGGCATAAACGTTTTTCTGAATACATAATGAATAAACTCTGCCAATGCCCCTGCTGTTCACACCAGGGGTAGGGGGGGTCCTCTGCCATTATAGCAGTTTACTGCAGAGAAGGCTGCTGAAGATCGTGTTAGGGCAGTGCTTGAAACCGTGTCAACTGGGAAGAGCTGGGCTGAGCCCTCTGGTGACCTGCCTCGGATTGTGGAGATAAGGACGCTGGCTCAGGGCATTCAACATGTTCAGTGCTCCCAGGACACTGGCATCAGTAAAACCCCCAGCTTCTAAAAAGCACCAGTGCTTGAACAGGGATGTCTGCTCTCCCCTCTTTGTCTTCAGCTGTCGCAGAAAGCTGGCTGGCTTTTTGCCATGCATTAGAAAATGCCTCGGAAAGGGCTGTAAGTAACAACAACATGCGTGGCTTTTTGCAGCTTGTGGGGAAAGGAGAATGGAATAATAAGTAATAATGTATAAACGAAGCAAAAATTTGGGCCCCAACTGCAAGACCAACAATGGATTAGGTGTCTGTCGGAACACAGCCACATTCAGATGTCACCCAGAGCTGCAACTGAACTTCAACTTGCTGCATCAAAAACAAATTGTGGCTCGTCTGGTGTGCCAGCAGGAGTCCCTTGCCCCGCCCCCTCTTCCAGGCAAAGCATGAGAAGAAGCTTCACTGGGGAAAACAGTGTTGCCCATAATGCCCAAATACGCGCCGGGGTGTGTGTGTGTGTGTGTGTCTGGTCAAATCAGAGGCCTGCACACCCATCCACCCACCATGCTGGAACTGAAAGTCAGGGCTGAACCATGACTTGGGGAAGGCAAATTCTAACTTGCCTGGGCAGTTGCTATTTGGACCTAAAAACAAACAGGGAGTTTTGTTTTCACTTGGGGGAAACTGCTTCTCAGGTTCTGCATGAGGAGGAGGAAGCAGGAAATGTGCACAGGGATGAAAGACAAACTACATCTATGCCAGCTGCCTGGCACGGGATCTGAACGGGCCAGTTGTTTGGCATGGCCAAGCCTGGCCTTGTGAGTTTGTATGCACCTTGCAGAAGTTCCCTTTTTGCGCTCTTAAAAGGCTGCATTCCCGTTTTCCTTTTGAGCTTTTGCTGCAGTACAAGACTGAACAGCAGCAGTAGTAATAACAATAACAGAGCTCGCCATCTCTCACCTGGGTTGCTGTCACCATTTTGGGGGTTGCCTGCTTCGTCTCTAGAGATACACGCACAAAAGCAAAGTCAGATGTTCAGACAGGACAGCCTCTCTTCACTGTCATTTCTTAAAACATTCATAATCCCACCCTCCTTCATCATGGTGCGGGATTGCTAGAATGTCCCACACTGAGGTCTTGGATCTTCTTAGTCTCAGGATGGTGGCTCTGCATGGCATACCTTCGGGGTACACCGTGAGCCAAATCTCATGAATTTCACAACTCCTGCCCGGAATCCCATCTCCGTAGCTGATCCAGACATCAAATCATGCAAAGGAAACTTATTACAGAGAGCTTATTGCTCCATTACGACTGGGGCCTGCTACTCAAGGACTGAGAACAAACAAAGGGAGGATGGGGATCTCTGGCTTGTGTGAGATGGGATTCTTTATGATCTCAACCCCTGTGTCAAAGGGGTGTGGTGCAAGGTAACAGGGGAAAGACAGAAGCAGTAGGCAATGTTTAGATTTTCACATTCTTTTAATTCTTGTAGAATCGAAGATTAACGTTTTAAATCATTTTAATAGATGACTAGACCTTAATCTTAACCACCCCAAAACACACACACCAGTTACTAGCCAATGCAGTAAGTCTCTAGATTATCTGAACAGACCAAAGCATCATTACAGCTACAGAAGGGCATCAATACGCAAAGCCTCCTCTCGCCCAGATTCTCCTGAATCAGCTGTGTGAGAGAAGGGGAAAAATCCCCCTGTTATTAAAGCACTGGCTGAAAAATATTGAGGCCAGCTAGGTTGCTAAGGGACACGGCCACCCACCTGTGGAAGGATAAAGCAGTCCTTCAACTGAACATGGCTAGCATGCACAAAGCATTTTACATTACTGGTAAATTCTCTATGCTACGACTTTACTCACAGTGCCCTCTCTCCCAGGTTCTTTGTTCCACAGGTATACTGCCTCTGTACATGGATGATCCATTTAGCTATCATGGCAAATGGCAATCCATCGACTAAGAACCTGGTTTCCTTTTGAAAGCTGGTATAGTCGGTGACTGTGGCCCTCTTCTTGTGGCAATCGACTGCATAATTAAAATAGCCTAGAACGGTCCAGCGGTAAAATGGCAGACTTCCACGGCAGATATGAAATGGCCGGGCGTTCAACAGCACCGTAATTTTAAATCAGGAGACAGGCTTACCAGTGTCCTGAAGCGGCTGCTCCTCTGCAGGCGAGCCCTTGACCGGAGTAGCCCCCAAATGCGCAGTCCAATTTGCAAAGACAATTTTGGGCAGCTGGGGAGTTTCAACTTTGGGCTTGATTTTCACACTGCATAGACAAAGGGTAGGAAAGTTATTAGGAGAACAAGCGGCATTCCCCTAAAGAAGGAAGTCTGGCATTGGCTCCCTGGATCTGCAGCACCAGTGGGGTAGAGAGAAAGGAGAGAGAGAAAGAAGAGCTGCCACTGTCAGGCTAGAGTGGAAGGCATGGGGAGAGGGAAGAAGAAGAAGAAGAGAAGAGATTGGATTTATACCCCGCCCTTCACTTGGAGTCTCAGAGCGGCTTACAAACTCCTCTCCCTTCCCCTCCCCACAACGGACACCCTGTGAGGTGGGTGGGGCTGAGAGAACTCTGACACAAACTGCTCTTTCAGGAACAGCTATGCCAGAGTTTGTGACTGACCCAAGGTCACATCAGCAGGTGCAACTGGAGGAGTGGGGAATCAAACCCGGTTCTCCCAGATTGGAGTCCGCACACTTGACCACTACACCAACTATGCTAGAAATGTGGGTAGGGAAGGTAAGGAAAAGAACAGGACAGCAGAGCAACCTTCTAGAGGCAGTCAGGAGACAAAAATGGTTTCTGCTCATGCACTGAAGCGCTAAGACACACACACACACACTCTCTCTCTCTCTCTCTCTCTCTCTCTCGCGCTCTCTCTCTCTCTCGCGCTCTCTCTCTCTCTCGCGCTCTCTCTCTCTCTCGCGCTCTCTCTCTCTCTCGCTCTCTCTCTGTGTGTGTGTGTGTGTGTGTGTTTGGAATGTGGGTCCAGCTGCCAAGAGAAGAGTGCCCCCTTTCCCACGATTGTGCCATTTTCTCACGTCCCCACAGAAGACAGCTTTACCAATTAGACACAGGATAGAAAACGTATTTGGAGGTGGAGAAGAAAAAAAAATGGGGCAATGCTACACATGTCTATATTACTCAGAGTGCTTCACATCAGCTATCTCAAGAAATTTAACCACTTTCCCAGCAGGGTAAGCCACTACTATTATCCCCAAACTAGAGAAGAGAAATATCAACAGAAGTTCATGGCCATTTCCCGCTGCGATTTGCTGCCTTCCAGCCCCGGTTGGAATAAAAACAGTGATCTACCTCTCAGACCAAGGAAGCCGATAGCCAAATGGGCAACATGATAATAAAACTAATAAAATTAATTTCAATGGGGATAAATATAAAGTTCTGCATTTAGGTAACAAAAATCAAATGCATAATTATAGGTTGGAGGAAACTTGTCTTGGCAGTAGTATGTGCGAAAAGTATCTAGGGGTCTTAGTAGACCATACACTGAATATGATTCAGCAGTGTGATGCAGTTGCTAAAAAGGCAAATGACAATTTGGGCTGTATCAGCAGAAGTACAGTGTTCAGATCACACAAAGTGATGGCAGAAGAGGATGAGACTGGATTTATACTCCGCCCTTCACTACCCAATGGTGTCTCAGAAGGGCTTACAAACTCCTTTCCTTCCCCTCCCCACAACAGACACCCTGTGAGGTAGGTGGGGCTGAGAGAGCTCTGACAGAAACTGCTCTTTTTCAAGAACAGCTCTGACCAGAACTATGGCTTGCCCAAGCCCATCCAGCCAAGTGCAAGGGGAGGAGTGGGGAATCAAACCCAGTTCTCCCAGATTAGAGTCCGCGCACTTAACCACTACACCAAACTGGCTCTACACCACTTTGCTCTGCTCTGGTTAGACCTCATCTAGAGTATTGTGTTCAATTTTGGGCACCACAATTTAAGAAGGATACAGACAAGCTGGAGCATGTCCAGAGGAGGACAATGAAGATGGTGAGGGGTCTGGAGACCAAGTCCTATGAGGAAAGGTAGAAGGAGCTGGGTCTGTTTAGCCTGGAGACGAGATGACTGAGAGGGGATATGATAACCACCTTCAAGTACTTGAAGGGCTGTCCTGTAAAGGATGGTGCGGAGTTGTTTTCTATTGCCTCAGAAGGTCAGACCAGAACCAACGGGTTGAAATTAAATCAGAAGAGTTTTCGGCTAAACATTAAGAAGAACTTCCTGACAGTTAGAGCAGTTCCTCAGTGGAACAGGCTTCCTCGTGAGGTGGTGGGCTCTCCTTCTTGGGAGGTTTTCAAGCAGAGGCTAGATTGCCATCTGACAGCAATGCTGATTCTGTGCAGATCATGAGAAGGGACTGTAGGAAGGGCTGCCTCAGTGCTTAGTTCTTGTGGCCCTTTCTTACATGCCCAGGGAAATGCTGATTGCCACTTTGAGGAAGCAATTTTTCTCCAGGCGAGCGATCCTGGAGGTTTTTTGTCATCTTCTGGGCGTGGAACAGGGGTCACTGTGGGTGTGGAGGGGGAGGTATCTGTGAATTTCCTGCATAGTGCAGGGGGTTGGATCAGATGACCCTGGAGGCCCCTTCCAGCTCTATGAGTCTATGACAAGAGGACTGTGGCTCAGTGGTAGAGCCTCTGCTTTGCATGCAGAAGGCTGCTGGTTCAATCGCTGGCATCTCCACATAAAAGGGTTCCGGTGGTAGGTGATGTGAAAGACCTTTGCCTGAGACCCTGGAGAGCCACTGCCAGTCTGAGTAGACAAAACTGACCTTGACAGATCCAGGGAAATATAAGACAGCTTCATATGTTCACGAGAGTTAAGAAATATTGACCACTCCTCTAAGGTTTAAGTGGATAATATTAAATCAGTAAGCATTATCTGCTTCTCTAAAGTTAATTACTTTTCAACGCCCTGTATAAAAAATCAAGTCTCTGGAGAAACTGACCGTCAGTGAGGACTTTATCAATGCTGGTTCCAAGCAGAGGGAAAGAAATCTACACATCGAAAAACTTATGCAATAGAAAAGAGCAGGAATCTAGTACGCCTTAAAGACTAACAAAATTTGTAGTAGGGTACGAGCTCCTCCCCTGCCACAAATTTTGTTAGTCTTTAAGATGCTACTGGACTCTTGCTCTTTTTTACTGCTACCGACAGACTAACACGGCTGCCCATCTTTGATCTATCTCCATGGAAGGCACATTTAGCCATACAGAATGAAAATCCATCATTTTTTTCACCAGCAGCAAATTACTTAACATTATACCAAAGGGACTGAGAATAAAAGGTGTCTGAAGAGGTGAGCCGTGACTCACAAAAGCTCCTCCCCAGCCACCAATTTTGTTAGTCTTTAAGGCGCCACTGGACTCTTGCTCTTTTCTCCTGCTACAGGCAGACTAACACGGCTGCCCATCTTGATAATCCGGATGGATTTCACAGCAGGCTGCCCAGCAAGTACATGATGCACTCTGGGCCCAACGCGGCTCCCTTCAAGCCATAAGATCAGCAGCCCGCAGCATCAGGCCAGCTTCCAACAGGACGCAGGGGAGCCTCACCTTTGAATCAGATGTGCTGTAAGTGACTGCTGAGGGTCCAGTGAGAGATCCCAAAAGTATAGCTAAAGGCTTTCCTTGGCGGAAAAGGTGGGGTTGGACAAGGATGGCCAGATGTGCAGCTTTTTTTTGCCGTCGAGTCACAGCTGACTTAAGGCGACCCCGTACACTTTTCAAGGCAAGAGACATTCCAAGGTGATTTGCCATGGCCTGCCTTGTATAGCAACCCTGGGCTTCCTTGGAGGTCTCCCATCCAATTACTGACCTTGCTTAGCTTCCCAGATCTGATGAGATTGGGCTAGCCTGGGCCATCCAGGTAAGGCAATATGCAGCCAGCAAACATTTAAGCCATGCACTGACTAAACGGCACTCAGCCTTAAAATTTCTATTTGGTTCATGCACAGAACCTCTCCTTTGGTAGCAAGAAGCCTGCAGTTGGCCCTATCTACGATACCAACATCTTCTCACTTGACGTTCACTCTGAGGTACCCCTATTAGTAACGATACCAATCCCCATAAAACAACTGTTGGCGAGCTCTACTTAGTGTTTTTCTTGAACTCTTGTTCTATGTATGAATGTTTTTGTTGTCTGACGCACCAATATTATCTTCTTGTTATATTATTTCTGTATGTTGCTTTAAAATAATAAAAATGAATTTGGGAAGGGGGGAAAAAAAGGACGTACTGCCGACTGCTGAAGGAATGAAGAATGCAAAATGACAACGTCTTTCCTTCTGGCGTATGGAACTGGCTAACTGCTGGTAGTCTCAGAGGCCATTCTATACTCCAGTCACTGATGCAAACACGTATTCTGGCAACAATACCTGGCCTCCCTTTGTGAACTCTGTAAAAAGGCTGACACCACTTAGAATGAAGGGCCTTCCAGTTTCCAAGCACAGGAGAGCATGGCCTTACGTAAGCGTTTCTAAAAACCTTTTTAAAGAGACAGGTGTTACTGGGGAAAGAGGTCCCGCACAACTTGAAAAAAAGATTTTTCATTTCCAAAAAAAGACTAGGCAAGACTTAGTTAACATTTCGCAAAGCTCCCAGGGCCAATTAAAACTGCTCCTTTGGTAGGCATGATACAGTCCAGAGGCCGGTTGGCCATCTCTGGGATGTTAGATTGGAGAAGGGGGAGGCAAGCTGGAAGACATTTAACTGATGCTCTTACCTATAGTCTGTGAAGTTCACAAGTAGGATTTTGATAGACACATCGTGTGATGTTCTGTTCAAAATGCAATAATCCAATTTTTCATCCTAAAAGAAGTAAAAGCAGAATGTGATTAGCTATGGCTTCCTCTACCCACCCACATAGAGGTAAAAAGTTAATAAAAGCTTTACTTTTCAGAGAAACAAACATACATCTGGCAAAGTTCAGGCCAAATTTGGCCTGCCTGAAAGCCTCCTTCTCTAATCGTAGAAGGAACACAGTACAAAATGATCTATTTCTAGTGATACTCATATGCCTTGTCCAAACTAGAACAGCCTTCCCTTTCTTGGTCTTACCAGGTAAGTGGAGAATCCATCATTCCGTGTCCGATCTAAAGTGAATCCCACCTAAACAGATTGTTCAAAGAATTAATCATTTAAAATTAAGGCAGTCAATGAATTAAAGAGTTTTTTTTACATAGCATTAATCATTACACCACTCAACATTTAAGATCAACTGCATACTGCCAAAACCACCAACATTAGTAGTTTATTTAGAGAATGCTTAAGAACATGCAACAGAATGTATGGTTTAACAAACCAAAGCTACAGTTTGTTTTCAGAAAACCCATCTTTAATGTCATTCACCTCCAGAATCTTCAACAGATGCCCTCAAAAAACAGGATGGTATTTTTCAGGTTACCTATCAGAATTTGCCTTTGCCAATTAACCAGCTGATAATTAAGTCTGCAATCCTACCCATGGTTATTTGGAAGTTAGAAGCTCACTGATTCACAGAGCAAGACTTCATGAAGAAGAAAAAGGGGAAAAGTTGGATTTACACCCTGCCCTTCACTCGGAGTCTCAGAGTGGCTTACAATCTTCTTCCCTTCCTTTCCCCACAACAGACACTCTGTGAGGTGGGTGCCGCTGAGAGAGCTCTGAGAGAACTGTCCTTGAGAGAACAGCTCTGAGAGAATTGTGACTGACCCAAGGTCACCCAGTTGGCTGCTTGTGGAGGAGTGGGGAACCAAACCCGGTTCTCCAGATTAGAGTCTGCTGCTCTTAATCACTACACCAAATTGACTCAAGTTTGTTTCAGAAGAACTGAGCTCCTAGCTGCTTTAAACTCTTGATTAAGTCATAGAGAAGTGCAGGCTCCAGAATAGCAGAGCAGGGCAGGACAAGAATGAAAATGCAAGCCACTCAGAATTTGTTCTTCCTTTAACCTGCAGAGAGACACAGGCTGTGTTTACACAGGAACTTTAACGCTTGCTTACTTCTCAAATGTCACGGTCTCTGTGGCAGCTCAGTGTGGACTCAAATTTAGGGCTAGAGCACCAGACATGGAACACAACACACCTTGTGACACATCCTAGTGCTCACCATTCAAGGTGAATGCCACATTGCAAGTCCACCACATGGCAACCCATCCACACTCCCAGCAGCCACTAGGTTGTGATGGGGGCAGGGGGAGAAAGAAAGAGACTACATGGAGATACCAGGTTTTCTGTAGCACCCTGACCACATCCAGAACTCACGCTCTGGTCCTTAATTACTATAGGAAAGATGCAACAGTTGCTCAGAGCAAGCTGGGGACACCAATGTCCCAAATATACAAATTCCACTAGTAGAAAATAGCATCAAAGATTGCCAAAACAATATATCAAGCAATTATAAAGTTGGTGGTGTCACAACAACAATACTTAGGCATACTGTAACTATAATAAGGCATAAGGTACAATATTTCCTCCTTTGAAGATAAGACATAAAGTCCATGTACTCAGTGTAACTTGATAACTTGATAGGCAGAGTCCACATAGTCATGACATATTCCAGACAGCCTTTGCAAAGATGCCCATTCTAGATATTTGGAAGATGCGTTTCCTTCGACTTCTTCAGTTTGCCGGCTGTGTAAGTGGAACTGTGAAGAGATTTACACAAATGCCTAGCCACAAAAACACGTATGAAAAACAGAATTGTTTAAAAAAACATGCCTGAAAAATACACTCGCCTTGATTTCAGCAATTTTCACAGACCACAAGGTTCATAGTGTAAGGAGCGAATCATAGGTTCTCAACTTTATAATTGTTTAATATATTGTTTTGCCAACTTTATAATTGTTTACTATATTGTTTTGGCAATCTTTGATGCTGTTTTCTACTAGTGGAATTTGTATATTTGGGACTTCTGTGACACTAGTCTTTTCCCCTTGTTTGGGGACACCAATGTGGCAGGGCAGACGTGGGTGCTCAATCTGTGGCCCTTGAGACTATTTGCAGCTGCTGCCTCAGGAACAAGGCCACCATCTGTGGCCGAGCATAGTTCAGTCCCAATATTCGTAGCGGCTTGTGGGGCTTGGTACAAGCAAGAGGACACCTACCAGGTGGTTCCTGTCAACGGAGAGGTTGCGGACGTTGACCATCATGGAGCCATCCTTGAAGAAGCCAAACGTGTTGAGATGAACTTTCTGCCGCACGTCATTCTGGAAGAGAGGAAGTGGCCTCCTTGACAAACTCTGACTTTGCCCAGTGGTGGCTGTTCCACCTGGACGCATCAGAGGGAGAGGAGCAACAGTAAGGTGCCTCTCCATCAGCCAACCTGCAAGAACCAAGCACCATTCGGCTCCAAGCCCTTCCATCTCCTACAGCGGCCATTCCCAAAGGTCATTATGGAGCAGTCAAGTAATCTGTCTACGAGTTACCATCTGAACTTGTTTGTTTTCCTGTTCTTCCTACTTCCCCCCCCCCAATACTTGTTCATGCGTGTAAAAAAACAGAATTTTGGGGAGAAATGAAATATATGTGATACGTACTTTCCTATCAAACCTAAACTTCTTTTGTTGATTTAAAAACATAAAATGCATTTATAACTTAGTGTATCACATTTTACTATTTAGCCTATTTCTGGAGTTTAAAGGTACAGATAACTTTGATTTCTACAAGAAAAACTGTAAGTACTGGAGAAAGAGTTATGAACTGCTGCATCCTGTGCTACCACAGCACACATTATTTGTAATTGCTGCCATTTGAGAGGTAGCAAAAGTAAAAGCAGAAAGTACAAGGTGCCTCTCCATCAGCCAACCTGCAAGAACCAAGCACCATTCGGCTCCAAGCCCTTCCATCTCCTACAGCGGCCATTCCCAAAGGTCATTATGGAGCAGTCAAGTAATCTGTCTACGAGTTACCATCTGAACTTGTTTGTTTTCCTGTTCTTCCTACCCCCCCCATACTTGTTCATGCGTGTAAAAAACCAGAATTTTTGGGAGAAATGAAATATATGTGATATGTACTTTCCTATCAAACCTAAACTTCTTTTGTTGATTTAAAAACATAAAATGCATTTATAACTTAGTGTATCACATTTTACTATTTAGCCTATTTCTGGAATTTAAAGGTACAGATAACTTTGATTTCTACAAGAAAAACTGTAAGTATACCCAGTACTGGAGAAAGAGTTATGAACTGCTGCATTCTGTGCTACCACAGCACACGTTATTTGTAATTGCTGCCATCTGAGAGGTAGCAAAAGTAAAAGCAGAAAGTAGAAAACAATTTCTGGCTGCGGTCACACACACTAAATAATCCACTTTCAATCCACTTTTATATTGGATTTTGTCAGTTCACACAGTAAAATTCAGTTGGAAACTGCATTGAAAGTGGATTACTGAGTGTGTGTGATTGCAGCCTCTGTGTAGCAAACAGAAGGAAGGGTATTTGGGCAGAAATTCTCCCATACTGATGCAACAGGTGGGACTACCGGCATATCTGGATATTAAGCTGAACTTCATGACACAGTGGAAACACTGGACTCTTTCATAATGCATTACCATGAAATACAATAGGACCCTAGCATATTAATTGGTGCCAAATTATTTCCAAATATTCTTCAAAATGTTTTATATACCTATAGGTTTTTTTGGGGGGGGGGTTGCCATCGAGTCACAGCCAAGGTTCCCTCTAAGCTGCGGAGTCCTGTGAGCAAAAATCCAACTTTGTGAGCGACCGGCATTAAAGTGGTGAGCTGGCGATTTGGCTGCTGCATAAATTAGTTTGCTCTGGAGCCATCCTTCCTGAGCTAAGGCAAAAAGGTGTGAGCCGGAGGCTGAAAAACTGTGAGCCAGCTCACCCTAACTCAACTTAGAGGGAACACTGGTAACAGCTGGCGTATGGAGACACTGTAGGGGGGTTTTCAAGGCAAGAGACGTTCAGCGGTGGTTTGCCATTGCCTGCCTCTGTGTCCCGCCCCTGGCATTCCTTGCAGGTTCCCCATCCAAATACTAGCCAGGGCTGACCCTGCTTAGATTCCGAGAGCTGATAAAATTAGGCTAGCCTGGGCTATCCAGGTCACGGCTACACATACAGTACACATAGGAATTATCTGACACTAGACTGACTTATACAAAAAAAATTTCATGTTACACATCTGGTTGACCCTTTCCACCTGATTCTTGTACAAGGAAGGTCCAACCCCTCCCGCACAGAAGCTTGTTTTGACATATCCCAGCTCAATCCTGTTTTTTGGGAATACACCTTGTACTTTCAAACACCCTCTGTGCGTTAAATTACAGTAGACTAGGCAAAACGAATTAGTGCATCATACAGCATGTGTCAAAAGACATCAGCAATGTAGAAAGGTATGCTGCTTGACATGTAGAAAGGTATGCTGCCCCCAGTTCCTTGGTTTGAGATTACAGAAGTAGTACAAATACATAAAGAAAGTACGATTCAGGTGGGCAGCCATGTTGGAATCCAGGGGCACCTGTAAGACCAACAAAGTTTAATTCTGGGTATAAGCTTTCGTGTGCATGCACATGAAATCTTATACCCAGAATTAAACTTTGTTGGTCTTTTTTTTTTTTTAATAATTATTTTTTATTAGGTTTTAACATATTGTAAGACAGGAAAATATAAGGACAGGAAGGATACAGGGTATGGGATAAGACATAAAGGGAAATTCCATCAAGTCTGTATAATAGCTGTTATAAATTTTCGGTCATAATTCTTTGTTTCCAGCTCTCTTTCTTTTACGTAATTACTAATACTAGTGTTGCTTAATCAAATTGCTAAAATTTTCTGTTATGATTTCTGAAAAGTGTCAAATTCTATATAGTTCAAATTGGAGTTTCTCCAAATTTATATTATATATATTCCTTGTTCTTGGTCTTCGAAGTTTCTTTCCACCCAGTCATAAAATAGTGTCGAGTTGCCTCTCACATTTTGTTTACTTCTGTCTTTCGACAAGTTCGATAGTACATACATTTCTGCTGTTTCAAAGATTTGTCAGAAGTTCATTTTCCATTGGTATCTCTGATTTCTTCCAGTACTTAGCATAAAGAATTCTTGCTGCTGTGACTATATGTATAATTAGACGTTTAGCTTTCTTATCTTTTACATCAGGCATAATATTAAGCAGGGACATTTCAGGTTTAAATGGTAACGGTATCAAACATTTTGTAACATTCCATGAACCCTTCTCCAATATAACATCACCTTTTTACACTTCCACCAAACATGAAAATAGCTTCCCATCCGTATCATACATTTCCAGCATTTATCAGACATTCCAGGATTCATTCTGGCCAATTTCTCTGGTGTTATATGCAATGTTCCCTCTAAGCTGTGGAATCTTGTGAGCAAAATTTCTACTCTGTGAGCTACTGGCATGAAATATGTGAGCGAGTGATCTGGCTACTGCATAAATTAGTTGGCTCTGGAGTCATCCTTCCTGAGCGAAGACTAAAATCTGTGAGCTGGAGGCTGAAAAACTGTGAGCTAGCTCACACTAACTCAGCTTAGAGGGAACACTGGTTATATGCCACCTATAGAATTATATAAATTCTCTTTAAAGGCAACCAATTTTTAACATTTGTTTCCCATATTTGCAACCAATAGTCAAGATCAATATTATAACCAAAATTTGGGGCCCATTCTAACATATATTCTTTAATCACCTCCTCCTCCATCTTTATCTGTAACACACATAAAATTTCTTAATCAATTTATAATTTGTTTCATATAAAAGTGTGTCAAACTCCGATTGTTCTACAACGAACCCTTGAGGTTTATCTTTAGCATATCTAGATTCTAGCTGTACTCAAACTTTGTTGGTCTTAAAGGTGCCACTGGACTCCAACTTTGGTCTATAAATAAAAGTACGTGAGAGTGTGAATTGTCTGCACGCATCCTCATCCACAATTAGTTCCTATCAGTATACCTGCTCACGCTCCCACTATCTAGGACTCCTCATCCAGCAGGCCCTTTTTAAAATCCACTCAAACACATAGTTGAAAGTGAACCCGCCAGGATGCTTGAGGGATGAAAGGAACGCTGCCCGAATTAGGTGGCCACGTAAGAGTCACCTGAGGAGGAACCATCTGCTTAATTGGAACAAAGCTGATCATGACGCATGGTTTTCCACAGATCCATCAGCGGCTCCTAGCTGAGTTTTCGCTAGGTTCCCAGTGCCACTAGTGTACGCAAAACAAGAACAAGTCGAAGCAACCTGGCTCGCCTCTTGACAGTGATTAAGGAGACGTGAAGCTTTCCTTCCTCAGTCAGCGTCTCGTCTCCCCTTCTTGACCACAGTCTCCCTTTGGTACAACATAGACAAGTGAGATTGCTAAGCATGACTCTAGAGGAACAACAGAAAAACCACATAGGGCTCTTGCAGAGAGGAGGAGCTCAGGACAGTATACATTGCACTCCCCTTACCATATCATTTTCAAAACAACCCTGTGGCGTAGGTTTAGAGGAGAAGGAGGAGGAGGAAAAGGAAGAGGAGGAGAATAAGAGGGAGAGATTGGATTTATACCCCGCCCTTCACTTGGGAGTCTCAGAGTGGTTTACAATCTCCTTCCTTTCCTCTCCCCACAACAAACACCCTGTGAAGGAGGTGAGGCTGAGAGACCTCTTTCAAGGACTGATCTTGAAAGAACAGCTCTTAGAGAACTGTGACTGACCCAAGGTCACTCCGGCAGCTGCATGTGGAAGAGTGGGGAACCAAAACCGGTTCTCCCAGATTAGAGTCCACATTCTTAACCACTACACCAAACTGGACAGTACACCAAACTGGACAGTTACTAGATAAGCGGACAACTCTCTTGACTCTCTCTCAAAGTCACTTAACAAGCGTCATGACAGAACGGAGACCTGAGCCTCGTCCAACACCCTATAACACAGGGTAAGGTCACTCCAGCAGCTGCATGTGGAAGAGTGGGGAATCAAAATTATTTCCCAGATTAGAGCCCACATTCTTAACCACTACACCAAACTGGACAGTACACCAAACTGGACAGTTACTAGATAAGTGGACAACTCTTGACTCTCTCTCAAAGTCACCCAACAAGCGTCATGACAGAACGGAGATCTGATCCTCGTCCAACACCCTATAACACAGGGGCCCCTCCCCAAAACAGTCCAGTGGAGCCTGAGCCGTGGGTGTTGCCTTCTGACACACTTCCGGTGATGTCAGGGTGTGTGGCAT